AACAGTCAACGTAAGCAGTTTTCAGATTTGTACAGTGGAGGAAGTTGAACAATTGAGATTGCCATTGGCTGGGGACAAGGGAGTGGTAGGTGGAATAGAGGATGAAATGTATGTGAGAAAACAAAAAACTTTGTGTTGGCTTAAGCTACACCCCAAGGGCTTCCCTGGTGGCTCAGATGGTGAAGAATCTGCCTGCAATGCAGGAGACTAGGATTCAATCCCTGGGTTTGGGAAGAACCCCTGGAGAAGGGAATGGCTACTCACTCCAGTATTCCTGCCTGGAGAATTCATCGGACATGGGAGTCTTTTGGGCTACAGTCCACGGGGTCACAAAGAGTTGGACATGACTGAGCCACTAACATTTTGACACTTCACACACTCCAGAAACAAACAAACTGCAACTTCTTGGGCCATGTAATGTGTGGCTAAACACATTAAAGTCTATCTCTTGCTCACACCAAGTCTCTGCCACTGGCTTGGAAGAGAATCAGCTCTCTTCCAAGTGGTGACTTAGGGATCCAGGCTCTTTCCAGCCTCTGGCTCAGTCATCTTTGTTGGGTATAACACCTTTGATCTCTCTCCACACCTTCACTTATTTGACTGATGAACTGGAAGGAGGAACAAGGCATATGTCACCCAGCCCTCTTTTCTTTACTTTTTCCTAGAGCTGGCTTGCCTGCAGAGAGCGTGTGTTCTGGGCTGCCTGTGACTGTTGTTGTTTAGTCCCTTAGTCGTGTCCAACTCTTACGAACCCATAGACTGTAGGCTTGCCAGGCTCCTCTGTTCATGGGACTTCCCAGGCAAGAATACTGGAGTGGGTTGCCACTTCCTTCTCCTTTCTTCTGCCTATGACTAGAGTCTTCCTAACTCTGAAGTTCAGGATTAGAAAGCTCACTCTCCTACATCTAAAACCTGGTTACTGCACCTATGTAAACACAACTTCAGCTTCTGTTTTTTGTTTTTGTTTTTTTTTTCCAAAGATTCATGCATCATCTAAGACAGTGGTTTTCAACCCAGAGTAATTTTGCCTCCCAGAGAGACATTTGACAATGTCTAGAGAGTTTTTGATTGCCTATACTTGGGGGGCAGGGAGGAGACTGACAGCGTCTAGTGAGTAGTGGCCAGAGATGTTGCTACACATAGGTTACCAACCCCCCACAACAAAGAATTATCTGTCCCCAAGTACCAATCGTGCTGATCTTGAAAGCCCTGATTCAAGGGGAACAAATGACCATCTTAGATCAACAGAAGTGACTTAGTCCAAAGAAAGTCTAAACCAGAGGGAATGGATGGGGGTGGCAAAGTGGCACGTGTCAATTTAGGCCCTTCTGGGGCCAGATTTTGTCTCCCCTCCCAACAGGCTTTTTCTAAATCCTGCCCAGCAACTGGGACTTCCATTTCAATCTGGGTTTTCTCAAATGACTCAGGGTAAATTTGGTCTCTTTATAGTTTTCTCTGCTCCTTCCTTCCCCCTCCCCGTGTGTGTGCTGAGTTGATTCAGTCATGTCAGACTTTGCAACCCTAAGGACTGTAGCCTGCCAGGCTCCTCTGTCCATGGGATTCTTCAGACGAGAATACTGCAGTGTGTTGCCATGCCCTCCTCCAGGGGATCTTCCCAACCCGAGGATCAAACCTGTGTCTGTTACTCTCTACCACATTGGCCAGTGGATTCTTTACCACTAGTACCACCTGGGAAGGGATTCTAAACCTGGAGGCCTTTACTTACCATCAGGGCCTAGAGCACCAGAGGGCAGCCTTCCTCATTGTCTGCCAGTGCCAGCAGCCACTGCGCTCCCCAGCTTCTGGTGGGCTGCACTGTGGCTGTTTCCTCCTCCCCCTGGCAGCTGCCCCATCCCCTCACCCCAGCCATGGCACCAGCAGGCATGGCTGAACCACCTTTGGGCTTCTGGATGTCGTGAGGATGTACTGAGGCCGCCACAAGCCCATTGGTCCAGGAACACTTTTGCTCACCTGCTCTCCTATCCTGGGATGGCAGGGCACCTCCTAGTGCTCCAGGTAGGAAGCAGGACACAAGTATCCTCTCTTCTCAGATCCCCAAATCTACTGTGTACGGAGGGGTTCGTATCCATTGTCCACTCCCATACATCATGGGGCAGGAGCGGGTGCAAGGACCAGGCCAGTGCCTCACTCCAGGGTCTTCTCCCTAGGATCTTTTTCTTTTTTGAAAGTAATTAATGCATTTACTTATTAAAGACATTAATTTAAATGTATTAATACATTAACTTAAATAATGTGTTTATTTTTGGCTGCACTGGGTCTTCGTTGCTTCGTGCAGACTTTCTCTACTCACAGCAAGTGGGGGCTACTCTCTAGTTGCCGTGTTCGGGCTTCTCATGGTGGTGGCTCCTCTTGCTGAGCAGCGCGGGCTCTAGGATGGATGGGAGTCAGTGGTTGCAGCAGGCAGGCTCAGTACGTGCACCCTGCAGGCTCTAGACCCCATGCTCAGTAGTTGTGGTACTTGGGCTTAGTTGCTCCATGTCATGTGGAATCTTCCCAGACCATGGATTGAACCCATGTGCCCTGCATTGGCAGGCAGTTTCTTAACCCCAGGACCTCCAGGGAAGTCCTGCAGCCTCTATTTCTAACGGAGTCGTCAGACCTCCCTCTCTCCTGGCTAAGTGTGGAGCTGGTGGGGTGGAGGGGAAGGACATCATAATACACACGAAGGGAAGAGGGGGGCGCACAGGAGACACCACTCCCTCTCCCTAAAATAAAAATTTTGGCGCACTGCCTTTACTCTTCCAAAATATCACAAATAACACGCTTTCTCACACAATTCTAAAAAATGACAATATAATGCCTGGGCTGTAATAGAAGGGGAAAAAAATAAAAGGAAAACAATTTGTAACCAAATAACACATATTTGAAAGTGTTGAGTCCCCTGGTGGCTCAGATGGTAAAGCGTCTGCCTATAATGTGGGAGACCGGGGTTCAATCCCTGGGTCGGGAAGATCTCCCGGAGAAGGAAATGGCAACCCACTCTGGTACTCTTGCCTGGAAAATCCCACGGATGGAGGAGTCTGGTAGGCTACAGTCCATGGGGTCGCAAAGAATCGGACACAACTGAGCAACTTCACTTTTTTTTTCAAAGTGTTAATGTTGAGGCCCCATGACATAAGAATAACAAAATGAAGTGTCAGATGCTTACCTCAGCTTATGACAAATAAGTTAGGATTTAAGGAAAACAAGATCAGAAATTATTCTGTATAAGGACCGCCCCCCAAAAAGAGCTGATACACTATTAAACACTAGAATTAAAATTATTTTGATCTGTGTTTTTAAAACTGTGATTACCTTTAGTAGTCTGAGATCATAACAGAATTTTCACCCTTTTGAACTCCCGTCTCTGCCCATTAAACACCAGCAGCTCCCCCCACAATGTTGTGGAGTTAAAACATATCTCCTCATTGACACAACACTGTAAGTCAACTATTTTGTTGTGACTTAGTCGCTAAGTTGTGGTCCAACTCTTTTGAGAGCCCATGGACTATAGCCCACCAGGCTCCTCTGTCCATAGGATTTCCCAGGCAAGGGTACTGGAGTGAGTTGCCATTTCCTTTTTCAGGGGATCTTCCCAAACCAAAGAACCCATTGGCAAGCAGATTCTTTACCACTGAGCCACCAGGGAAGCCCTCAAATCAACTATACCTCAATGAAAAAGAAAAGAAAAGAAAACATAACTCCCACATCACCAGAATCACACACACAACAATCTCCCTTCCCAGAACCACTGAGTTAATTGATGCTTCAAATATTAGCCCAGCAAGTGGGTAAAATTTCCACCTGTACATACGGAAATATATATGCCAAAATATTAACAGTGGTTTTCTAAGAAAAGAGGGGGAATAACAAACACTCCCAATCTTCTCTCTCTTTTTCTTTTCTTTTTTTTTTTTTTAACATTTCTGCATTATGTAAAATTTTGCTTACAACATGTATGACTGGAGTCAGAAAAAACAACCAACAGAGCTATTTTGGAAAAACGATATGCCAGGACTCCCTCCAGCGTGCGTGTTTGTTTTGTCCCAAGAAGGATTCGGTTCCACCGTGGGAAACCTCGAGCTCACTTTTTAAAATGCCAGAGAATTCAGTGCTCCTGGGGAGCCCAGCCTTTCTTCGAGGCCTGCAGGTGGCTCCAAGTACCCGGCTCGGCCCAGCCGGACAGCTTCCCTCACCTCCGTCTGCACCGCCGCCTAGTGGCCGAGGGCGATACCGCGCCCTTCGGGAAGCGAAGGGGTCAAGGGGCCGTGGGCACTGCCTCTGAGTCCCTGCCCTCTGTACCATGGGCCATTGTTGAAACTTATGCACCACGTCTGAGAATAATGGTCTTTTAAACGTCTAAAACAAAACATACGTTTAAAAGAAAACCGATAATATTGAAGAGGTTATTAAAATATTTATAATTACGTAACGCTATAATAAATGTGCTTTTTCATTAGCACTTTAAATAACTTACCGTAGTGGCAGACCTAATACCTAAGCGGGGAGGTGCACACACAGTATTTCACGCTATCGGTGACAAGTTGAAGTGCTAGCGTCTGTGATTTTTAATTGGTGACAGTCACAGAATCCCCACGGACAGAGGAGCCTGGCGGGCTACAGTCCATGGGGTCGCAAAGAGTTGGACACGACTGACTAAGCACAGTACAGCCCAGCAAACAGGACTCCTAAGGAAAAGACAGATGTTACTTCAAGGTTAGTGAAAGTAAAGATGTACTATTTCCCACCCAGATTCGCGGACTCCCTGAATTCTACACACAGGCCCCGTGGAGTGCTCGGCGGCGAGCATGGCTAAGATCTCGTGCGAGAGTTTGGGAGAAGCGCTCCGTGGGTTTTCAGGGGTGCGGTCGGCGCGTGCTGAGGGTCAGTGGAGGGCACCGCGGGGGCGCCTCCTCCCTCTCCAGGACCCGCACGGCCCCTCCCCTCCCTTCCTGGTCTCCATCTGCCTCTGGAGGAAGTGAAAGCCCCGTGCAGCCAGGAGAGGAGCTCCCGATTGCCCAGGCGCGCACTCCCGAGCGGCCCGGCGCTCACCATGCGGGCCCTCCTCCTGTTATGGGGCTGCCTCGTGCTCCCAGGTGAGGTGGGGGCGAGGGTGGAGGGATGTGGGGCTCATCTCCAGGCTCGCCCCCTGGGTCTGCTAGAGGGACCTCCTGAATCTACATTCGCTGTGGCTGTGACGCCGCCCGGCCGCCTGATCCTTCCAGGCTTCCCCCACCCTACTCCTCATCCTCAACCCTCAGAGGGGCCACTTGCTGTTCCTGGAACGGAGAGCCAGGTCCTCCCCCAGACCTGTGGGTCCTGGACCCCTCATGGCTGAGTGGCTGTGAGTGTAGCTTTGCCTCTTCTGTCTTCATTTCCTGACTCGGTGCCAGCCAGGGAGCTGAGAAGACACCCCTTATACTAAACTCAGCAAATACTTCTTTTTTTTAAACTCAGCAAATATTTCTTGAACTTCTGCTGTAGCACTCACAACAGCCCTGAGAGATGAAGAATTATTCCATTTCATCAATTCACAAACCTGCTTTTCTTTTTTTTTTTTTTTAATTTTTAACATAAAATTTAGGATGTGTAACTGATGTCATTTCCATTGATTTTTTTTTTAATGTTACATGAAATCATGGTAGCTCTTAAATATGATGGCATCTTAATTCAGTGACATAGAACGTATTATCTATAGGTGAGAAAACAGAGAGGTCAAGCAGTTTTCCCAGGATCACGCAGCTACTAAGCAGCTGTGCTAGGATTCAGACTCCCGGCTGTCTGAATCTAGAGTTTCCCCATCACCAGCCTTCAATACGCCAGGTAGGGAAACAGTAACAGCCCTGCCCCAAGGTCCCTCGGTGGCAGGGTGGAGTACCAGCTCTTACCAGGGTTGTCCCAGGAAGGGAGTGACTGAGGAAAACCTTCTGGTCTTGACCTTGGGACTTAAATCAGGGAATTCCAGCCTTCACACATGCTGCGGTTTCAGGTTACGGATCGGTGGTGGACCCGAAGGAGATCAGTGGCTTTGAAGGTGACACTGTGTCCCTGCAATGCACCTACGGGGAGGAGCTAAAGAAGAACCTGAAATACTGGTGCCGCGAGGCCGGGATCTTCATCTCCCGCTGCACTGAGACTGTCTTCTCTGGAGGATACGGCCAGGAAGGAAGGGTGTCGGTCCACGACAACCCATGGGAGAATAGGTTCACGGTTATCCTGAGGAACCTCACCCTGAAGGACATGGGGAAGTACTGGTGTGGGGTCAAAAGACTGGGCTTCGATAAGACTATCTCAGTCTCTCTGCTTGTCTTTCCAGGTAACAGACATCCCTCCTTCCCTGGGAGGGATTCAGGGTCATGGAATTGGGGGCAGGGGAATTGCACCTCTCCACAATAGAGGACAGACTGCAACACAAAAGAGGGGTGTTCCTGAGGTGTGACCTGTTTGTTCAATACAGTTTCTTTCTTCTTTTTTTTTTTGGCTGTGCTGGGTCTTCATTGATGTGCCCAGGCTTTCTCTAGTTGCAGTGAGCACGGGCTTCTGACTACACTTCTCATTTCAGTGGCTTCCCTTGTTGTGGAGCACAGGCGTGTGGGCCCAGTAGTTGTGGCTCAAGGGCTTAGCTGCTCCAGGGCATGTGGGATCTTTCCAGATCAGGGATCAAGCCCATGTCCCCTGCACTGACAGGCAGATTTTTAACCACTGGACCACCAGGGAAGTCCTCAAAACAATTTCATTGAGACCTCTGTTTGGGGTGCCCTGTAGCTGGGGAGGTTCTGAGTAATTGGTCCTAGGGAGACTAGGGCTCAGGGGTCAAGGGTCAGAGGTCTGAGGATGCTGGGAATCGAGGATCAGGAAAGGTGCTGAGGCATTGCTTTTGGACTTGTACCTTCTCCTGGTCTCCTCCTGACAGTCACCACAGCCAAGGTGGGGAAGACAGAGGCTGAGGCCTCTCCGTTCACAGGGACCTCCCTGTCCAAGCACACAGCAGCCTCTCCGTACGCAGGGACCTCTCTTCACCCAGCAACTTCTCCGTTTGCAAGGATCTCTCCTCACCCAGCAACCTCTCCGTATGCAGGGACCTCTCTCCACCCAGCAACCTCTCCGTTCACAGGGACCTCTCTCCACCCAGCAGCTTCTCCATTTGCAAAGATCTCTCCTCACCCAGCCACCTCTCCGTATGCAGGAGCCTCTCTTCACCCAGCAACCTCTCCATATGCAAGGACCTCTCCTCACCCAGCAACCTCTCCTCCTGCAGGGATCTCCCAGCCAGTCACACAATTGGACTCTACCTCAACAAAGGACCCCAGTTTTGTCCCCAGCAGCAGCTCCAAGTCCAGGTGAGCCCCAGGTGACCAAAGCCAGCTTTCGGGTCAGCACTAAACTATAAGGTGCCTCTGAGCCAATAAGTACCCACTACTCCTTCCTCTGAGTTGCAGCTGCTCACAAAGGGCAGATTCTGCACCATCCCACCCCCTACCCAGCACTACAGGGGCTAGCAGCCCTGTTGCCTTGGACATGCAGGCCCCCATGGCCCCCAGTCCCCACCTCACTCCCTGCCCAGTTTTAGGGAAAGCCACCCTAGTCCAGCAGCTTTTACCGGAACACTTTGCACTGGGCCCTATACCAAGCATGAAACATGGAACCAAACAATATGATTTTTTCTTACCCAACTGGATTCCCAGCTGGAAGGATTGGCTCTTGGGGGGTTATATACAAACTATGCTTCTCAGGTGGCATTAGTGGTAAAGAACCTGCCTGCCAATGCAGGAGACATAAGAGATGTGGGTTCGATCCCTGGGTCGGGAAGTTCCCCTGGAGGAGGGCATGGCAACCCACTCCAGTATTCTTGCCTGGAGAATCCCATGGACAGAGGATCCTTGCAGGTTACAGTCCATGGGGTCACAAAGAGTTGGACACAACTGAGTGACTGATCACACACGCATACTCCATTACTGGTAGCCAGGCAACTGCTCATGGGTTCAGACCCTGCTGAAAGTGTCTCCTGGAGTTGGTGATGGGGGTCTGAGGCCCCTTCCATTGGGACTAACCGGATGTTGTGGTCCCTGGTGCTCTCTGATCTCCTTGGGAGAGATGAGGGATGTGACCAGGACTCAGAATAAGAATGCCCCGTGTGTCACTGACATCTGGTGACAGCCACCAGACTCCTTCCATCTCACCCACAGGGTGTCCATCCCACTGATCCGGATCTTGGCCCCGGTCCTGGTGCTGCTAGCCCTTCTGCTGGCCACAGGCCTGGCCGCCCTCGGCAGCTTCGTGTTTCAGTGGAGAGAAAAAGGTGAGCCATGTGGACAGGGGGGTGAAGGGCTGTCAGCCAGCGGTCTCCCTGAGACCCACAATCCCCCAACGACCCCAGAGAGACCTTGTGGGGCTCAGTGTGTGCATCTCAGACATGGGAGTCCGGAGCCCTGCTCCTCTTTTCTGAGGGACCCACAGGGCAGTCCACAAGCAATTCAAATGGGAGAGTGAGAGACTGGGGGGCTCTCATCTCGCTCTGATCTGTCCAGTCAAGCTCATCAGCCACGTCACTCCCTGTTGATCCCATGAACCCATCCATGTCCAGTCTCTGCAGGTTCTGACCTTGTGTGAGGACTGACTGCAGGGTGGAGTGCTGGCTGGAGCGCTTGAACAGGATGTATCTTGAGGCCCTCCACCTGCTCCTGGGTCTCTAGAGATGCTCAGCCCCTTTCAAGACTTAGCTTCAAATTCCCAGCTCTGCCATTTTTTAGCTGTGTGGCCTTGGGCAAGTTACCTAACTTCCTTGAGTCTCCCCAGATGTATGGCCTACAGAAATAGAATACAAGCCACATATGTGGTTTAAAATTCCCTGACTGAGTAGCATGGAAATATATACACTATCATATGTAAAATAGATAGCCAGTGTGAATTTGCTGCATGACTCAGGGAAATCAAGCCAGGGCTCTGTGACAACCTTGAGGCGTGGAATGGGGTGGGCGGTGGGAGCAAGATTCAAGGGGGAGAGGACATATGCGTACCTGATTCATGCTGATATATGGCAGAAACCAGCACAATACTGTATAGCAGTTATCCTACAATGAGAAATGAATAAATTTTTAAATAAATAAAATTTTAGATCAAATAAATTTTTAAAAGATTTCCCTCATAGTCACATATAAAAAAGAAGAAACTAGTGGTTAATTCTAATAATAAACTTTATTTAACATGATATAGCCAAAACTTTATCATTTCAACATGGAATCAATATAAAATACTAATTATATATATTCTACATTCAGTTTTTCATAGCGTCTTTGAAACCCAGTATAATTGAAAGTAGTCACATTTCCAGTGCTCAATGGCCATATGTAGCTCCTGAGGTGGATGGCACAGATAAACCGGGTTTAACTAAAATAACAGTACTGGGAGATTTCTGTGCCAGGCACTGTGGTGTGGCTTATGTTGTTTTTATCTCCTTTAATCTCAATACGGTAGAGTTCGGAACGGCTTATTACAAAACCTGGGCTTCCCTGGTGGCTCAGTGGTAAAGAATCCGCCTGCCGTGCAGGAGCTGCAGAAGTCACGAGTTTGATCCCTGGGTCAAGAATATCCCCTGGAGGAGGGCTTGGCAACCCACTCCAATATTCTTGCCCGGAGAATGCCATGGACAGAGGAGCCTGGTAGGCTACAGTCCATATGGCCGCAAAGAGTCAAGGTATGACTGAAGCAACTTAGCATGCACGCATTACAATACCTACAAATACCCCCATTTTACAGGGCAAGAAACTGAGGCACAGAGTGGTTAAGCAGTTTGCCCTTGGTATAGCTGGGAAGTAGTACAGCCAGGAAGCCAAGTTTGCAAACTGGCAATGTTGTGCCAGTGCAAGTGGCCGTGGTGGGAAACGATGGGCCTGCCACCCACCTCCTCCTTGTGTGGCCCCCAGGAAGAAATGTCAACTCTGCCCATGTCCCTAGACCCACTCAGAGGAGTTGGGAAGAGCCCACGGGGTGAAAACATTCCAATCACAACCTCAGAGCCTCATAGCCCCTTGCCTCTCAAATTGCAGTCCCCAGCTGGCAGCAGTGGCATCCCCTGGTAGCCTGGTAGAAATTCAGACTCTAGGGCCCCAACCTCAACCTACTGAATTAGAATCTGTGTTTTAATAAAATTTCCTATACACATATTGAGGTTTAAGAAGCAATGACCTGAGCACACAGAATCACTTCCCTAGCCAGTTTCTGGCCCACACATGGGGATTTCCATGTACCAATCTCAAAAGTCAGGGTCACTGCCAAGGGGTTGGGCTTCTCTGCCGAATCTTCCTGCCTGGCAAGCCCCAGGTGCAAGGGGCCGTCCATCTCTGGGGGAGCAGCTCCCGGCTTCAAGGTGCTCCTTCCTGTCTCTTTCAGCTCAGCTGGCCTTGGAGACACAGAAGAAGGACAAGGTCCATCTCTCCCACTTGGTAAGGAAGGAGGCAGGCCCAAGCTCAGATGCCCCTGAGACCGGAAGTCAAGACTCACCCTGACTTCCCATTAGGTGCCAGCAGGTGTCTGCTTCTGGCCTAAGGCCCCGTTCTCATCCCTCTCCTTATGGCATCAAGAGAACATTGGAGCTGGATCCACAGCAGGTCTTTGAGATCATCTAACCCAGCCTTTCTCTAAGTTTGGTACAAACTCCCTTTCAAAACACCTGGGGGTGGGGGTGAGGGTGGGGGCCTATTAGAAACATTCTCTTCTACACCAGTCTCAACCAAATCCTCTAGGGGTTGGGGCCAGGAACCTGAATTTTAAACACAGCCCTGGGGGATTCCGACAGCACACTGAAATATGACTACCAATAGATGATAGTCTGCTTTTGCAGAAGCGGGCAATGAGGCCCAGAGAGGGAAAACATCTTGCCCAGGCGGTGAGTGGCTCCAGAGCTCTCGACCCCCATTTCTCCTCTTTCCAGAGCACACTTCTCAGAGCTTTCCTTGGTTCTGAGACCAAGGCGGTGTGCTACCCTGACGTTCAGACTGAGGGGCCAGGGGCAGGAAGAATGGGGTGGGGGGGGTCCCTGTGCCCATTTTCCTGGAGAGAGGCTACCGGCTGCCAGGCCCCTCCTTGATCCCTGCAAGGAGAGACCCCCCACTTTCCACATCAGCACCCTACAGAGAAGGTCACCCCTTAGAAGATAGCAGCCCCACCTGCCTCCCCCACCCCACCCCACCTGATCTCTCCTTCCTTCTCTGTTTACTGAGATGCCTCCACTCTGATTCCCTTAAACACTAGAGCAGAAAGGGGGGACTGCCATTGCCTTCTTTCCTGGCGCCAGCAAGGACAAAAGACTCAGGGCGGATCCCCCCAGGAGGGCCTGCGGTGGGATGGGGTACTGGGCTGTCCTTTGCTTAGGAAGCAGCTGTTGTTGTCTCAGGAAGCTCAACAAGACCAACAGGGTGGATGGGAGTGAGAGAGAGGTCATGGAGACGGATGCAGGGGCTGACATGGCCACCGCCAGGACTCCCCTCCTGGCTCTATATCCCGGGGCTTGCCCCTCCCCAACTCAGAAAAAGAGGCTGGGCTGGAGGGAGAATCTCCATGCTGCCTCACTACTTGTTTTTCTAGAAGCTTCCCAGGTGGTGCTAGTGGTAAAGAATCTACCTGCCAACATAGGAGACATAAGAGCTATGAGTTCAATCGCTGGGTCAGGAAAATCCCCTGGAGGAGGACACAGCAACCCACTCCAGTATTCTTACCTGGAGAATTCCATGGACAGAGGAGACTGACAGGCTATAGTTCATAGGGTTGCATAGAGTTGGACACAACTGAAGCGACTTAGCACACATGCTATGCAGAAATAGAGGCTCATATAGCTCTTGTATAATACAATCCAGAAAATGCCTCCATGCTTGCTGGAATAGCCCAGGGTCCACCGCGTGGGCAGAGGGACCACTGAGAGATGCAGATGCTCCTGGGGCAGAGGGCAGTGGTCCTGGCCACAGCTACATATGTGGTTTGGTCTCTGCCCCCCTGAAGCTCTTTCCTCAAATTCGGTCACCCCTGAGTAGGTGACATTTCTGCAGCTGTTGATGGTCAGTGGTCAGCAGTGGCTGGGTTTTGACCGAATCCCAAAGCTGTCGGCATGGGATTCATGAGAAATGGAAGTGACCTCGGGGGCTCTCTGGTCCAGCCCATTTCTGCCATGTCCTCCCCACAGGCAGGGCTGGGGCGGACAAGGGCCACGAATGGCAGCATTTGTGACATCTCTGTCCCCCTCCCCCACGCCTTCAGGCCCTCATTCCCCCTAGTCACATCTCACCTGAGAAACTCTGTCCTGACTCTTACCTTGTCGCCATCTGCCTGCAGGTGTCACTAGAGGGGGCTCACGCGTCCACCTCTACCCCCACCCCCCACAGCTAGGGTATTGCTCAAAGCCAGGGCCCAGTTAGTAGACAAGAGACACTGTCACTCAGAGAAGTGTGCATGAGGCCCTGCCACTATGCATAGCATAAGGAAAGAGCTTGGATCTGAGGTCAAATAGTCACAAGTAAGGAAAGAGCTTGGATCTGAGGTCAAATAGTCACAAGTTCAAGGCCCGGCTCAGCCACACACCTGCTGTGTGATGTCTGGCGAGTGACATCACCTCTCTGAGCCTCGGTTTTCTCATCTCTCAGGACTGTGGTTAGAACAAGTGAGATGAGCCATCTCATAGTTATGCAGGAAGTGGGAGCTTCTTTCCTTGGCTTCAGTGCCCATCAGACCGTGGGATCTGCTCAGGGCAGCTGATCCAACTCAGGGCAGCTGTACCCTTAGGAGAAGTGGCTGGGGGCCTCGGCCAGCTCCAGCCTCTGCTCTGCCCAGCTGCTGGGCAAGAGAGTGAGCGGTCGAGGGCCCCAGCACTCAGACCTGAGGACCCATGGGAGCAGCTGAGTGTCAGGAGATGGGCTGCCTCACTCGTTCTAGACTACCCGTCTTTCCTCCCTGGGCCTCGGCTTTCTCATCTGATCAAGGAGGCGTTGCTCAGATGGATGATTCCTAAAGAATCTTTTCCTGTGCTGTGTGTTATTTGGTGAGTCTTTGAAGTGTCCAACTTGGCTGTCTCAGGCCTATGACAAAAAGCCTGCAGCCTGCACAGTCTTCCTGCTTCAAGGAGAGAAATAACAATCATGGAAACAAATTAATCATTGCAGGAGTTGCCAGTTGTTGAGTGTGATAAAACATTATCAGAAATGTTTATTATTTTCCTAAGGGGAATATTTCACTCCCTGTTTTACAGCTTGGGAAATGGGGCCCCAGAGAAGTTAGATGGCTCACCCAGGGTCACACTGAGACATAGTAAATTGGCCGTAAGGACTCTGACTCCTAGCCCACCCCGCTGCCTGTCCCTCCTGCTGCTCCAGCTTGCAGCCCATCCCTGCGGCCGAGAACAGGCTGTTCTGACTGAATCTGTTATTCAGGCTCTGGGGAACAGCTGGGTCCCGGAGTCCGCTGTGATCAAGCTTGCAGAACCCACTGGGCCTTCTCCTAGCCCCGAGCCCTCCGCCGGCCCCAACACGGACATCCGGTGACTGAGCCAGGTGTGGACAGAGGGCTCCGGGGGCCTGGAGCCGCCTAGCCTGGCTCCACTCTGACAATGCAGGGAAGTGGGGGAGGGCCCTGCTCTCAGCGTCCACCCACCGCCCCCACCATAACCGGAGTCTTGGCCATTTCACCCGGGAAGCCAGGGCTCCTGACTTGACAGCCTCTTTTTTTTTCTGACCCAGAAAAATTCTTGAGTAGCTTGGTGGGAGTGACAGCTTAAAGAGTTCTGGGCTGGCAGGATTCCCACATCTGCAGTCAGAACCGGGTCTGAGGCCATAAGGATGCTCCCCCAGGGAATGGGGAAGTGGGGGCTGTGAAACAAAGCCCGGGGGTTCCTGGGGAGAAGGAGTGGTTAGTCCTACGTCTGTTACATGGACAGAGGCCCAGAGCTTGTGGGAAAGGCCAGAGTGGGCCCAGTAGCTGCCTGGAGATCCCTCAGCTGGGCTCTGATTTTCACCCCACACTGTTGTCTTTACAGACTTCAGAGGACGACAAAGCCTCTTGGCGGGACCCTGAGGGAGACATGACCCGAGCCTCTACCCTCCCTATGTCTGGGGACGAGCCAGGCTTTTCAAAGTTCAGCTCAGTCTAGCCACCGAACACCCTCCTTGAATCTCTGGAAGAGCTGAACCTGCACTAACTTGGACAAGCTTTCTGCTATGACTTCAGAAACCTCCTGCCAGAGTCCAGGTCTCTCCCCCACCCTCCCCAAGCTTTCCTCCTGCCCATCTCAGCTGACCCTGAAGGCTTCATTAGCCCTGGAGCCTGATGCGGTGGCCTCACAGTTCCAGCTGGAGACTGGGACTTCCCCAAGATGGTCACATCCTTGGGCAAAGCACACAGTCACTGGACCTTCAAGGGGTCAGGCGGGGCTCAGGGGATCTGGTCGAAGTTTGTATCTGCTATGGGGGGTCCCCTGGGCCTGGGTGCCCAGTCACAGGCCCCTCCTAACTCCCCTTCCAGACCCCACCTTCTCCTCCTTTCTTCCATCCTCAGACTCAGGGCTGAGTTCTCCCACATAAGCTGGTGAGGAGGAGGGAGCCTGCAGGGTTAGCCTGGAACCTGATTTCTCAAAGCCAATTGTGAACCACCTGCATTCCAGTCCTTCAGGAAGCTGGTTAAAAAGATGATTCTGGGGCCCCATCAAGAGCTGCCCAAACCAGAATTTCACTGGTGGCCCAGTAATTAGGACTCCATGCTTCCACTGCAAGGGGCACTGGCATGGTACAGCCGAAAAAAAGAAGGAAATAAACTACCAAAACCGTCTCTGAGGCTGGGCCTGGGACTATGCATTTCTTCCAAGTGCACTGGTGATTCTAACACTGGTGTTTGAGTACCAGTGGGCTGGTTGAGCTCATAGGTCCCTCCAGCTTAGAGAGTCGACGCTTGGTGTGTGGAGTCTCCCCCTACCCCCTATAGGGCCTGCTCTGCCCACCACACCATGGCCCAGCCGGGGGCTTTCCTGGACCTGCCTGAGTCCAGGCTCAGGTCAAGTGCACATCAGAAAGGCCAAGCCCAAGACTGGCCAGAGTGGTTGTCTATCTGATCTTGAGGTAGAAGATAGATGGGCTCCAGGCTAGGCATTTACAACTGGCCTCCTCCTATTTAGATTTTTTGGGGGCGAGAAAAAAATGGGCTTCAGGCCAGACACTTTCAACTAGCCTCCTGTTTGCATTTCCTGAGACAGGAGAGAGGTGGGCTCCAGGTTAGGCATTTATAGTTAGCCTCCTGTTTGCTCTCCGAAATGGAAGTAACAATAGAAACGGGGTAAATAACCAGGATTTGTCTCATGTGGACACTTCAAGATAGCAGTCTTGGCAAGAACAAAGAGGAACTAAACCTTGTTGGAGCAAAAGATCAAGAGATCCCATATTCCCCCTTCTTTAACCTCAGATATGCAGATGACACCACCCTTATGACAGAAAGCAAAGAACTAAAGAGCCTCTTGATGAAAGTGAAAGAAGAGAGTGAAAAAGTTGGCTTAAAACTCAACAACTCACAACTGAGTGACTGAACTGAATCTGAATCTGAATGGGGCAAGGGAGGCAAAAGTAAGGGAGGTCACCCCATAGGCCTCTGGGCTGGAATCCATCTTGGCTGAGGGGTGCATGCTCACCTAGAGGAGGGTCCTGAGACAAATTAGCCAGGGGGACAAAACAAGACAGTTGACCAGAGGGAAGACAAAGACCTGGATAACTGCCTCTTTATTAAACTTCCCAAAGGCACGGCTCTCAAGACTCGGAGTTCACCCATGCTTCTTTCTGCATGTACTCTGCTCTTCCAATAAATGTTTACTTTTCTCTTTACCTTCTGCCTCCTCTTCAGATTTCTTTCTTGTCAAGGCAGGCAAGGACTGGGGATTTAGGCCCAGTGGTCTAGCAGTTAGGACTCCTGGTCAGGGAACTAAGCCAGCTGCTGCTGGCTGCTGCTTACTGCAAGCTACTGTTCACTGTTGCATGGGTCCAGAATCAGTCTTCCTACTCAGCATGCATTCCAGGCTTTGGAAGGAGGATGGAAAAAGTCTTGACTCCTTCCTTGTCAAGAAAGGATTGATTGCCTGTGGGTTCTGGCAGCTGGAAGGTGGGTAGGAAGACACCGAGTGCAGGTGGAGGTGGATATCTAACGGAGGAGGGGGACTTCCCTGGTGGTCCAGTGACTAAGGGTCTGTGCTCCCAATGCTGGGGGCCCGGGTTCAATCCCCAGTCAGGGAACTAGATCCCAAATGTCCCAACTAAGATCCAGTGCAGCCTAATTAATTAATTAAAATATCTAAAATAAACTAATAAAGGCGAGGGAGGGGACAGGACAGGACCCTAAGGGGAACCTGAAAGTGACCCTGAATTTGGTCCCCTGGAACGAGGGAAGGGGAGGTAAAGTAACAGAACTACCATTTTTTTTCCTTTTTCTATTTTCTTTGAAAAATGAACCAGGAGCTGCTCAGTATACAAAACCTAGAAATACGGAGGATAAAAAGGAAAAAACGTATCACTCATTGTCTCACGGCTACCCAGAGACCGTCGTTACTGCATTTTATTGTTTCTTTCCAGTTTTTTTTCTCCACATCACTTGCTGATGTGTTTTTACAAATTATTTTGTTATACAATTTTATATCTGGTTTTTCACACTTTATTATTATATCATTAAGCATTCATGTTTTTGCATAAGGTTTTCACAAACATAAAGTTTATCGGCTGCATAATATTTCATGTCAGTTTATTTCAGTTCTCTCTCACTAGATACTTGTTTCTATTTTTGCTGTTATAAATAAGTGTGGTGAATCTTTGCACACTGCTTTGTCTGCATTTGGAGATTTCTTTCAGAAGGATCTGCGTATGTGGACGTGCCAGATCAGAAGGCATAAATATTTTTGAAATTACTGATACTCACCGCTGAACAGCTTTCAGAAATGGTAGAACCAATTTCAGCATTTCTCAAAGTCCTCAACAGCCTCCACCCCTGCCCCTGTGGCTGTGGGAGAAGAAACCATTTATAAGGACCCAGAAGTGAGGGCCTAGTGGGCTGGGCAAGGTGGAGCCCATCTTAAGACGCTAAGGAAACTCACCAGAAAGTGGCAGCCAGTGCAGGGTGGGGGTGGGGAGGGTCACATGGGGAGCACATCTTACCTTTTCCAAGTGGAAAGGGAGCCCCAGGTCTGAGCTCTGGGGATTCTGCCCAGGATCCTGGCACAGTGTGTGCCCAAATATTGGGGGAGATAGGAAACAGTAAGTTACAGATGGTCTCAGAGAGACCTCAAAAGTTCCTCCAAAGCAGGCTCCCCCCATGAAAAATTCCTCAGCTAGAGGCTGGTGAGAACAGTGGCTTCTCAGGAGGGAAAGAAACTTCCCGTCCTCTCAACCTGTCACCTACAGCAGCCAGAGCTTTGGGGGGGGGACTCAGAGTGGTCAGCCAAGTCATCCCAGGCCCACCCCTTGCCCATTTTCAGACAATGTGCCCACTAAAGAGACTTTATGTCTTTTAAATAGTTATTTATTTATTTGGCCGCACTGGGTTTTAGTTGTGGCATGCAAACTCTTAGTTGAGGCATGTGGGATCTAGTTCCCTGACCAAGAATCAAACTTGGGCTTCCTGCATTGGGAGCTTAGACTCTTAGCCACTGGACTGCCAGGGAAGTCCCAGACTTTATGTCTTTCAGAGGTAAAACTCTCCAAGGTAGCCTAGGATTGACATCCTCAAGATTCCAAGTTTCTATGGATTTATTAGAAACTTGAGCATCCTTCACAGACCCTGCCACTCTGTTCTAGCTCCCAGCACTGTCACAGAGCCAGCCTGGGCAGGGGAGGAAGTCCAGCTCCTCACCAGCTGTCACTCTGCAGTCCCTCATCTTGATATACCTTGGTTTTATATTTGTACACCCAAATCTTCACCTCAACAAGCTGAATTGGAACAAGCCACTGTTCACCCATCCTGAGAGGAAGAGTTTCCAGCCTGGGAACCTGCTGAGAGGTAAAGATTAGGGGAACATCAACATGGCTCATGTTCTGTTTTGTCAAATTGGGGCATTAACTGTAATAATAACCTATCCTTTATCATCTCATTTGTTTCTTTCAGAGAAATATTTTAACACCAAAAAGATTATTGATGGTGAAAATAAATGATTTAAGATTTAGGTCCTTCCCTAAACTACCCTTCTACAAAGATTTAGATGCTGTGATCCTAATCCATTGAAGACTACTGAAGAGATTTTCTATAATCTTTTGTTACAAAAGGGGAAGGATGAGGAGAGATAAATTAGGAATTTGGGATTAACAGATACACACTACTATATAGAAAAGAGATAACAAGGATTCACAGTGTAACAGGGAACTATACAGCGTTCAGTATCTTGTAATAGTCTAGAATGGAAAAGAGTCTGAAAAAAACACATATAATATATATACTTTTCATAGAAGCCCTTTATTGGGTTGAGAAAATTCCCTTCTAGTCCTAGTTTACTGAGGTTTTTTTTTAAAATCAGAAATTGATGTTATGCAGGGAATCCAAAGCCAGTGAGTGCTCTGTGACAACTTAGAGGGGTGGGTTGGGGAAGGAGGTGGGAGGGAAGTTTAAGAGGGAGGGGACATAGGTATGCCTGTGGCTAATTCATGTTGATGTATAACAGAAATGTATGCAGGTCAGGAAGCAACAGGTCAATCCTAAAGGAGATCAGTCCTGGGTGTTCATTGGAAGGACTGATGCTAAAGCTGAAACTCCAATACTTTGGCCACCTGATGCAAATAGCTGACTCATTTGAAAAGACCCTAATGCTGGGCAAGATTGAAGGGAGGAGAAGAAGGGGACAACAGAGGATGAGATGGTTGGATGGCATCACCGACTCAATGGACATGGGTTTGGGTGGACATGGGTTTGAGTTGGTTATGGACAGGGAGGCCTGGCATGCTGTAGTTCATGGGGTCGCAAAGAGTCACACGACTGAGTGACTGAACTGAACTGAACTGATGCTGAGAAGTGGTCCCTCATCTTCAATTTTCTGGAAGAGTTTACGTAGAATTGGTAAATGTTTTATATGTTTGGTAGAAATCATCAGTGAAGACATCTGGGCCTAGAATTCTCTTTGTGGGAAGGTACAAACTAGACATTATTACTCATTGCTATTTTACATAGACAACATTAACTTGGATTCTTACATATTAGCTTTTCTTTTTAAAACATCATGTAAATGGTAAAGTCTGTCAGTTTTTATCTGAAAAACTCTATCAAAATTCTTGGAAGGATTTTGTTGGGTATACAATCCTAGCTTTACAGCCATTTTCTCTCGGCATTCTGGAAATACTATTGTTTTGTTTTCTAGCTGTAAGTGTTGCTGCTGTCAGACTGAGTAATGTGCTATTTTTTTTCTCAGACTGCTTTTCTACTTCTTTTGGTGTCTTGAAGTTTTACTCCTGGCCGCAAACTTCAAATTTTAAAATATGTGTATTTACTTATTTATTTGGCTGAGCTGGGTCTTAGCTGCAGCACCCGGGATCTTTCTTGTGGTATGCAGGATCTTTTTAGCTGTGACATGTGGGCTCTAGTTCCCTGACCAAGGATCGAACCCAGGCCCCCTGCACTGGGAGCTCAGAGCCTTAGCCAGGGACCACCAGGGTCCCCAAATTTTTCTTGTTTGGTTCAAATCCTTATATCTCTGGGTTCATATATTTCATCTGTTCTGGAAAAATATTTATCTTCAAATATTTATCTGTACTTCATTTTTTTAATGTCTCCATTGATCAGGATAAAAAATTTTTAGACCTTACCTTTATACCTGCTTTTACCCTCTCATATTTCCCTTCTTATCTCTCTGTTATTCATTCTATTTTTTTCAGCTCTATCTTCTAATTTAGTACTTCTTAAACTTGAAAATGCCTATTAATTACCAAGGAATCTTGTTAAATCTCCTTAAAAAAGTATATTTGTTTGGCTACACTGGCTTTCAGTTTGCAGCACTCAGGATCTTCGATCTCCACTGGGGCACACAGAATTTTAAGTTGCGGCATGTGAGCTCTTACCTGTGGCATGTGGAATCTAGTTCCCGGACCAGGGATTGAATCTGGGACCCCTGCACTGGGAGTGTGGAGTCTTAGCCACTGGACCACTAGGGAAGTCCCTAAAACTCAAATTTGATTCAGTAGTTCTGGATAGGGCCTGAGAGTCTGCATTTCTAACAAGTTCCCAGGGTGATGATGCTGCTAATCCAAGGACCATACTTAAGGGAGCAGCTTTTTTATTCACCCATCTCTTTTCAGTTGTGTTTGATTTGCTGTTAGCTCCCTCCAATTAGTTCTTGTTTTAATCATTGTATTTTTTTATTTCTATAAGTTCTGGATGGTTCTCCTTCAAAACTTACCATTCTAGTGTCTTGTTGCTTGTTAATTTTTATAGTGTCATCTTTTATTTCATTAAACATTTACACACATGTGTTTAGTTTACATTTTGTGCCTAATATCAGAAGTCCTTGGG